GTCAAAACCCAGATTTATAATCAAATTTTGAAAATATCTTGCTATGTTTTATTTTATTTATTAACATGTCTTTATCTGATATTTTATACCCCTTTCTATTCGAAATGCGTCTCTTCCCAATTGAATTAAAACCTCCAAATCCCTTGACATCCAGAAATTCCTCGAATCAATTTCTCTCAAAACTCCACTCGAAATTCCTCGAATCAATTTAGTCCATTCTTGCCTTTCCCCTTTTGATTTTAGTATGATTTTTAACCATAAAAGTTGTTGATCCATGTTGACTGCTAGAAGGTTTTATTACTTTTAAATCTAATAATTCTTTAATATGTATATTAAAATCTTCTCTGTCGTGATTTGTGTGATTGATTTCTGTTGTTCTAATTTTTATTCCAATGTTTTATAGGATCTTCTTCCATTATTTGAATTTTTTCGGCTAGTTCTAGAATTCATCTATTCTATCTACCTTATACGATGTCTTAAAAAAAAAAATCATTAATTCTTTGGTTCTTGGTTTGAAATCCGTTTTAAGGTTTTTAAGGATAAATGCTCTAAATATTGTAAACTTTTTAGATTATCTAGATTCTTATTGAAATTGTCTAAACTTTCTGGTTCTAGTTCTAGTAAGGGTTCATCACGCTTTGCTCGCAACTTTGATGAATTTACTATATTAATGACAGAAATGTCTTTTCCAAAAATTATTACCTCAGGAGTGGTTGTTAAACTTCAATTTCTACTCAGTAAAAATTTTATTCCTAAAACAAAATTATCTTTAATCAATTCACTAATTAGTGTGGTTGTTAAATTGTATTGTCTTTTATGAAATTTAATCTTACAATTATCAAAAAATCTTTCTTCAAATCTCATCTTACCACTGTCCATTTGACTACCTCTTATTTCATATTCTAATTTTTGTCTACGATCTTCTAGAACTAAATCTCTTCTAATCATATCAAATGTACATCATGTATCTATTAAGGCTATTAGATTTAGTTTTATCATTTTATTAATTTTTATTTCTATGGGTATTCTAAGATTTTTTGTTGACTTTATTCTATATATTTGAAAAATTATTTCTTCTTGATTTTCCGTTTCTAAATAATTAATTTCCGTGTGACTATCTACAGGCTGTTTTTCTAAATTTCTAATTTTGTATTGTATTTCTCATAATGTTTCATATACTTTATCTATTATATTATTTGTAATTTTTATCCTATCTTCTAATCTTTCTATGTTTTTACTATAATCTTTAAGTTTATTATAAAATTCTTCTTTAATTCCTAAACAACTACTACATTGGATTTCTAGGAAATTTTTACATTGATTTATATTTTTATGTCCTGGATATATTTTACGTGTTTTACACTTATCCATCATCGATCCCTGTCCTTTTATCCATTCATGTACACATTCTTGTTCTACATTCACCATTTTTATATCGAGAATTTAAAAGTCTAATTCTTCTAAACTACTATAACTATCTTCGAAATTGCTTATTTCCAAGTTGTCTAATTCTTCATCCTTGTATATACTATATACTGAACTACAAGATTCATCATCAGATAATTCTATAATGTTACACTGTATTTCCTTGATTATCATAGATCTAGTCATATTCTCCTTACTTTTATTTTTATTGGAACATTTATTACCGAAATGTCTACGATTTCCACAAATATAACATTTACAATTATTTTTATTTCTTGGCTTTTTAACATATCTATTATACTTATGCCTTTTATTTTTATTATGTTTTCTACTTGGTCTAATATTATATTTCATTTACTTTCTTGATTTTTTTTTTAATTTAAAGTTTTCTTTTATCTATAATCATATGTTGTGGTGTATACAAATTTGATTAAAAAGATTAATTTAATTTCTTTATTTGTTTTTTTAGCTACTTCTTCTATATAGTATTCTTTTAATTTATTATTTATAAGTCTTATAGTGGCACTAATAGTCAAACCTCTTACTAGTTTTGATTCTACATCCTTTTTAATTTTATCGTTTCATAGCGGTGGTATCTTTTTATATAACCTTTGAAGTATGGATATATCTAATGTTATTCCTGCCGTTGTCACGCGTTTTATGCAACGTGAATTATACCGCAAGTGTACGGTGTCAAGTTTTGTAATATAGTATCGGAGTAAGAGTGTCGATGATTGATATTTGATTTTATACTAAGTACTATAATTATTTTAGCTTTTAATTTATCTAGAGAAACAAA